GCCCCACAGTGCGGAATGCCCTCCACTTGGGCAACGACCACCTGCCTGTCGGCAGCCAAGTGTTGGGCTTCAGCGCTGCTGCAGACCGCACCCCCAACGCGCGAAGTCACCCGACGTGCTGTGCTTGACTCCGTTATCGTAGCAAGTGAGGAAACCAGCCGTTGCACCGAGTCAAGACATTACAACATATCGGTAATCGGTTGAGCTCGTCCCCAGCCTCCACCTTGTCCACGAGATAGCCGCGCAAGGTTTAGGATGGGCCGCAGTTGCAACCTCTGATGTAGGCTTTGATTCTGGGGGCTGGAGCTTGCGTCGCTTGGCGGCCTCGTTTGCCGCAGCGATGACTCCCAGCATGCGCTTGCGCTCCTCTTGAATACGTAGCTGTTCATCCTCTTGCTGTGTCTCGTCGAACTTGAGGCCAGCTTGCACGAAGAGCTCCTCGTAATTCGCCTCGTCTGGGATGGGTGCATCCACGCCTGAATCAGGCAGGTGAGCATCGCCCCCAGAATCAGTCGCACCTAGAACAGCCCCGTTCTTCTGCCTCTGCTTTTCCTTCTCGGCACCATGTTTGAGCTGCTGGCTGTGCTGCGCCTGCTCGAGGGTCTGGAGCGGCGCTTGCAGGAACATCGGACGTTGGTCACCTTCCCGCACGGCGCGACCGTCGGTTTGGTGAGTTGAGGCCCATTCGCTGCTTCGCGTACAAAGGCAGCAGCCTGAGCTTCCTGAATGTTTTTCTTTCGTGCCTCACGTGCCCGTAGAATCTGCAGCTCTTCATCTCGGGCGGCTGTGGCAGCAAGGAGGTCTTTTTCGCGCTCTTGCAGCTGCTCCACTGCCTCGTCCAGCCTCTTGCTGACGTCCTGGAGGCGCAGTCCCGGCTGGAAAGCCGACATGTCACCGCAGTCAGGCGGTTTGTACTGCTGCTCGCCCTTTGCCTCGGACTCAACAGCCCTGTCCCGCTGGACCGCTGGCTGCAACACTTGTTTAGTCGGGGAAGCGCAAGACTCGAGTACCCCGGAATTCGGGTTTGCCGACGCGTTTTGACGAGCGCGTCCTGGATTTGGACGGGCCAGTTTTCGCGGGATGTCTGCAGCGCGAGCTCGCGTCAAATTTCAGACTCGGTGTCGTCATTTTCATGGTGGCCCCGTCAGGCCAACCCGAATCCCCCGAACCAGGTCTTACGTCTCCCCGGCTTAGGCCATAATTGTCGATTCTTTCCATGTGCTTTGCAAATTCTCATGAGCATCGTCTTGGCGGTGGTAGGGTCCGTGTCCACGATCCCCGCGTCATCCTCATTGCCGTTGGTGTCAGTTTTTTTGTCCAGCGAGCTCGGCGCAGTGCCAGATGCCCAGTGGTTCTCGAACGCCTTCTTGGTTTTCGGTTGGCCTCCTCGCCAAGGCCGCCATCTTTGCCATCCATTTTCATCCCTCGTCCGATGTCGATACAGCGCTCCACGAGGCGCCTGCTTCCCGAATCGTGCACACGCTGTTCTGTAGGCATAGCTGGCAAACGCTGTGCCATAGACCCTGGCGCGGTTGCCACATGGCCAGGTCTGATTCTTCGCCATCCGCGGCTCGCCAGCGCGAGCCCTTTCGAAGTACCCGCTGGCTAGCCCAGCCAAAATGGTCTGGGCCGAATGTGCTGGAGGAGGAGGAGGAGCACGGAAGATAGGATGTGCTTGATGGGCAGGATGTGGATGATGAGAAAGAACTAGCGTAGGACGATTCGGATGCGGAAGAAGAGCAGTATGATGATGAGCATGGCGAGGATGCTGACGATAAGAATGATGATTGTGGTGGTGGTGGTGGTGAGGAGAGATCTGGCTGCGGATTGTCATGGTGATTATATGGCGATGATGATGATAATGATGATGACGATGCTGATGATGGTGCTGGTGATGATGATGATGACGATGTTCATGATGACTATGATGATGTTGATGAAGGTGCTGCTGCTGATGATTATGGTGGTGATGATGCTGCTGATGATGATGATGATGATGATGATGATGATGATGCCGTTGACGGTAATCATGACGTCGATGCGGATTATAATACGGATGCAGCTGATGATGCTGGTGATGTTGATGCCTCTGCTGCTGCTGATGATGGTGCTCTGAACCCGACGACGACGATGCTGCTGCTGATGATGATGATGACGCTGCTGATGATGATGATTGCGATTGTTATGGCGATGGTGCTGGTGACGATCATGGTGATGATGATGATGAGATGGTGATGGTGTTGATGATGCTGATATTGATGCTGATGTTTATTGCGATGGCGAGGCTGACGATTATGCATGTGATTGTGGTGTCGAGAATGATGCTGATGCTGATGACGACGATGACGATACTTACGATGATGATGGTGACGACGCTGATGATGCTGTTGAGGATGATGCTGATGGCGATGGTTATGATGCTTATGCTGATGCTTATGATGATGCTGCTGATGATGATGACGAAGCTGCTGATGCTGATGCTGTTGTTGTTGGTGCTGATGATGGTGATGCTGCTGATGCTTATGCTGATGCTGATGCTGATGCTGCTGCTCATGATGATACTGATGTGCTGGGGCTGCTGCTGATGATACTCATGATGGCGATGATGATGGTGATGGTGATGATGATGCTGATAACTATGATGATGATGATGATGATGATGATGATGATGATGATGATGATGATGCTGATGATGATGCTGATGATGATGATGATGGCGATGATGACGATGATGATGATGATGATGATGATGATGATGATGATGATGATGATGATGATGATGATGATGACTGTGGTGGTGGTGGTGGTGGTGATAGTGATGATGCTGATGATGATGCTGCTGATGATGATGATGATGATGCTGATGATGATGATGATGATGATGATGATGATGATGATGATGATGATGATGATGATGATGATGATGGTGGGTTACAACGAGCGGAAGACGATGATGAAGCGGATGAGGCGGGCCGTGCAGAAGAGACAGGATGTGCGGACACGGAAGTGTGATGCGGAGGGGGCTTTTCAGTAGAGTGGTGGTGCACAGGAGGATGCCGAGTCACATGACGTTCAATATGATGGTGAGGATGATGAAACGGATCAGGATGATAGTGTGGGTGGCGGTGGGGGAGTTTGACGAGAATGATGACGAGGCTGATGGGGAGTTTGACGAGAATGATGACGAGGCTGATGGAGGGTATGCTCAGGGGAAGGATGAGGAGGGGGGGTGGGGACTGAGGGGGATGAGGATGAGGAGGAGGAGGGAGGATGAGGAGGAAGGAGTTCGAGGAGGGGGAGGGTGAGTCGGAGTCGGATAAGGAGGGGGAATGCGGGAGAGGAGGGGGTGAGATGATGACGAGGAGGGAGGTTCCCAATACCCATCGTCAACTACGGAAGCCGAAATGACAATGTGTGCTAGGGCAAACGGGGAAACGCGGTACGGCGGACATAGAACGTGAGGGGGGACCAAAAGATGTTGATGTTGATGGCGCTGGCGAGGAGGAGGAGGAGGAGGAGGAGGAGATGGAGGAGGAGGAGGAGCGAGGAGGAGGGGGATCGAGGAGCGAGGATGAGGAGGAGCGAGGAGGAGGAGGAGGAGGAGGAGACCCGGGACAACGATGATCAGCAAGGCAGGGGGAGCAGGATGAAGCTCCGTTTTCTTGATCCGCCCTCGCCCCCCTTGTTCAGCTTCCTCCTCCCCAACCCTCCTCCTCACCCCTCCTGCTTCATCTTCCCCCTCCCCCTCCGCCTCCACGATGACGTCACTATCATGATCATCATGATCATCATCGTCATCATCATCATTGCCGTCGACATCACCATCATGACCATCATCAACACCACCATCACCGTACTAATCATAATCATTATTATCATCACCACCATCATCTTCACCGCAAGACTCATGGTCGTCATCACCACCATAATCATCATCATCACCACCATCATCATCATCAGTAGCAACGCCATTCCGATCATCGTCATAATCATCATCATCATGATGATCATCATCCTATCACCCTCATAATCATCACAATCATCATCATCATCGTCATCATCTGCATTGGGGTCATCATCGTCATCAAAAGCATCATCATCAACACCATCATCATCTCACCATCACCATCATCAGTAGCAGCATCATATTCAGCACCAACATCAACACCATCATCGTCATCACCATCATGTTCACCACCATCATCACCATATCCATACTCGTCGGCATTGCCATCGTCATCATCCGCATCGTCATCATCATCATCCTCATCATCGTCGTCAAGGTCACCATCATCACATCATCATGGTACTAGTCGTCATCACCATCATCATCACTATCATCACCAGCACCACCATCTTCATGACCACCAGTTTTATCATAATTCTCATCATCATTACCGTCGTCATTATCATCGCCATCATCATTGCACCACCATCGCCAGCATCATCATCAGCACGATCATCACTGCCACCACCATCAACGTTATCACCACAGTGATCATCATCATCATCATCATCATGAACACCATCATTATCATGAGTAGCAGCACCGTGACCGCCGTCATCATCATTGTCATTACCATCATCTTCAGCGTCACCATCATTTTGCCATCACTAGTACCATCATAATTTTCATCATGACCATACTCAGCATCAGCATCATCATCATGGTAATCGTCGTCATCACTATCATCATTATCATCGTTATCATCGTAACTGTCACTGTCACCATCGTCACCCTCACCACCACCATCATCACATCACCACCATCATCATAACCACTATCATAAGCATCCTCATCATCGTCAGCATCATTATCATCATCATCATCATCACGATCATCACTACCATCACCACCAGCGGTATTTTCATGATGCTCGTGCTTATGCGTATGATGTTGGGTGTCATCATCATTACCATCAGCGTCATTATTTTTCTGCTCTTCCTCCTGGCTCGCCTCTGCTTCTTGCACTGCGAATTTTTTCCCTGCGCTGGCGGAGGAGATGTACAGCCTCTTCGTGCACGTGCCGTCCACACAGATGTTTATTGAGCTGATGTCTTTCTTCTCGGTGCCGCCCGCACCGCTGCCGTCGAAAAGATGTGGAGCGACATTCAAGCACACGGCGATTCGCCGAATGCGACGTTACTGACCAGTCGACCACTCGTGACCTGATGGGACGGTGCTGATGTTGGTGTCGATGATGTCGATGCTGATGCCGACGACGGCGATGAAGCTCACGAGGAAGGTCTTTGTTGCGCTAATCTGGAATGTAGAGCTCGAAGATGGCGAGACTAAGGATAGGGTAGCAAGAGATGATGATATGATGATGGTGACGATGCTTATTATTATGATGATGCTGATGACGATGGTGATGGTGCTGGTGATGGTGATGGTGATGCCGATGATGATACTACTGATGATGATGATGATGATGATGATGATGACGATGATGATGATGATGATGCTGATGATGATGATGATGATGATGATGATGATGATTATGATGATGCTGATGATGATACTGTTGCTGTTGCTGATGCTGCTGCTGATGATGATGATGCTTGCGCTGATGCTGCTGATGGTGCTTACGATGCTGATTATGCTGCTGCTGATGAGGATGATGATGACGACGACGATTATGAGGATGTTCTTGTTGATGATGATCTCCACTCAGTAGAAGGAAGCCGAAGGCAGTCAGTCAGTTCCCAAACGACCATGCCAGCACCGTCCTGAGAGCCGACAGCCCAACAAGCCCCAAGGGTCTTCAGACATGGAACGATGGCCCCACCGTCGGTGTACACCGTCTGTGTAAAACAGCCTTGACACACCGAGGGACACACCGAATGGAGGGGTATGGTGGCCCAATGCCTGCACAGTCAAACACAGTAACAAGGATGCAGGCCGTCGTCAAGGTTGCCCTTGCGTCCTTGCCCGTGTTGCTCCGTGCATCGGCCTCCTGCCGCTGTAATCGCTGCACCGTGCGTTTCCAAAGGCCTGTTATCCTTGCCTTGAATCCTCGTTCCTGCCTGTGACTGCAGTTGCGTTCCGGTGTCCGAGGGTGGAGTGGGCAAGCGGGTCTAGGGACCACGTTCCATTCTGCATCCCACACACCAGGCGAAGCACCGAAACCTTCGTCAACGAACTGTAGCGAAACCCCGTAGGATGAGGAGGAGGAGGAGGAGGAGAAAGCGGAGGAGGAGGAGGAGGAGAAAGCAGAGGAGTTGGAGGAGGAGGAGGAGGAAGAGGAGGGGAGGAGGAGGAGGAGCGGGGAGGGGGAGGGACGACGATGCTCATGGCGGATATCTGCGCAGGCCCCCCCCGCAGGGGCGCGGAGGTTTCTCGTGCTCTGCGCTGTTCGGCCTGGGCCGGAGAGCGCGGCATTTCTGCACGACCCCGTTGGAGATCGCAGAGACGAACATCGGCACGAACGAGATGGGTACGGGAAGAATGGGTACAATGCCCAACAGCAGTTCCTGTTCATTTTGAACAGGACTCGCTGTCTGCGCCGCCGTGGCTTGTGTCCATCTGAGACAGAAGGCCGCCTGCTCAACAGCGGCCGCTGTTGGTTTGGGACAACATTTGTTGTTGGGCATTGTACCCATTCTTTCCGTACCCATTTCGGGCGTCCAAAGATCAGTGGTGCGTGCAATGCGAAGCGAAAAGTTGGGTGACCTACAGTCATGCGATCGCAGACATGGATCAAGGGGGCGTGGATTAGCGACATGGTCCCGTTTCCATGGGACATCGCGGATTTCCGCCGCCGCGCGAAGCGGCACCAGCCGCATTTTGGGGAGGACACCTCCCCCGATCCATGGATTAGGCGACCGCGCGCCAAATCCATGGATCGCTAATCTATGTCTGCGCGCCCACGATACAGTGGGGACCCATGCCAAGAAACATCCTGCTTGCCTCCAGGGTGCCCTGGGTTTCTTGGGTTTCGATGGTTTTGCGATGGAAGGCGTGACGTTCTCGCAGCAAGAATCCATGAACGTCCTGGGGTCTTAGGGTTGGGTTTCTTGTGGAGGGTTTCTTGTGGTCGGGCCCCTACTGTAGAATGTCATTTGTGATCATGACGACGAGAATCACGACCAGGGGCAAACGCTGAGCGTGGTGTCTGTGGGGTCAGTGAGAGGATGTTGAGCGCTCGTGTTTGTCAAAGCCAAGGTGTCTGCCAAGAGACGATGCCCATTTCTGAAGCTGCAGAGGAGCTCAGGGTAGCCATCAGAAGGGCTGTGCGGGGCACTGCCCTCATCATTCACTTCCCGGCTTCTTGCGAGTCTGTTTGAATAGTGACTCACGTTGTCAATACCCCAAGCGCGGCAGACTCCACCCGACACTGCGACCAACAGCGTTCCCGCACCTTCGTCCACTATGTTTTTATCGCTCACTCTTCGATCATATGTCGGTGCATGTAATCAAAACTGTTCTTGCGAAAACAATACCAGCCCTGGAATTTCGAACACGCGTACACGTGCGCCACAAGGAAGCGACCATCAGGGCTTGGAGGGTGGTGTCTGGCTGGCATCACGCAAATGAGAGGTCCGAACAAAACTCAGTTACTAGACTCGATCAGTCTTCCCCCGAAGTTTCAGGAGTCCAGGTCGCCGTGAGCCCTGAGCGTCTTGGGTCACTCAGCGCCTTCCGCGCTCGCTTTCGCCCCAGGAGATTCCTGAGCAGCAGCGTAAATGGAAGAGGGGGAGGAGCAGGAGCTGGAGAAGGAGGCAGGAGGAGGCAGGGGGTGGAGGAGAACGATGATGATGTTGATAGTTCATGGCGACGAGGGGGATGATTCTCGCGGCGGCGGCCTCGACGACGGTGATGATGATGATGGTGATGATGATGATGATGCTGATATTAATTATGATGCTGATTACTATGATGATGATTGTGATGGTAGTGGTGATGCAGATGATGAAGATGACGATGCTGATGTTGTTGATGATGATGATGACGACGATGGCGATGATGACAATATTGTTGATTATGATGGCGATTCTGATGAAGGTGGTGATGGTGATGGTGATGGTGATGTTGAATCGGTTGCTCCTGATGATAATGACGATTCTGGTGATGCTGATGACTATCATGATGTTGATGATGCTGATGATATGGATGCTGCTGATGAATGCGACGGTGGTGATGATGATGATGATGATGATGATTATGAGCTTGATGATATTTCTGGTGCTGCTGATAATGCTGCTGATGATGATGCTGATGTTGCTGAGGATGATGCTGATGACGATGCAGATTGATGATGACAATGCCAATGAGTATGAGTCTGATGATGGTGGAGGTCATGATGATGATGATACTGATGATGATGACGATGATGCTGATAGTGATGATGATGATGCTGATGCGGATGATGATGCTGATGATGCTGATGATGATGCTGATGATGCTTCTGATGATGATGACGCTCATGATGATGATGGCGACGACGATGATGATGATGCTGATGCTGTTGGTGGTGGTGGTGGCAATGATGATGTCCATGGCGATGGTGATGATGCTGATGCTGATGATGACCATGCTGCTTATGATGATGATGATGATCATGCTGATGATGATGAGGATGCTGATGATGATCATGACGATGATGATGATGCTGATGATGATGATGATGATGATGATGATGATGGCAATGCTGATGATGATGCTGATGATGATGATGCTGATGATGATGATGATGATGATGACGATGATGATGATGCTGCTGCTGATGCTGCTGATGCTGATGATGTCGATGGTTATGGTCATGATGATGATGATGATGATGATGATGATGACGACACCGATGACGATGACAAGGATGGTGACGACACCGATGACGGTGACGACACCGATGAGGATGGTGATGAGGATGCGGTTGAGGATTTGTGTGAAGATTCGGATGAGGATGCTGATGGTGATGTTGATGGTGGTAGTGAGGATGATGCTGATGATCATGATGAGGAGGAGGCAAAGGAGGAGGAGGATGAGGATGATGATGCTGATGCTGATAATGATGATGATGATGATGATGATGATGATGATGATGATGATGATGATGAAAGTGATGATGCTGCTGATGATGCTGGTGATGATGCTGATGCTGATGCTGCTGCTAATGATGATGATGATGCTCATGCTGATGCGGATGCTGATGCTGATGATGATGCTGATGATGATGATGACCCTGTTCATGATGATAACGAAGGCAACGATGACGATGCTGATGCTGATGATGATGATAGTGGTGGTTGTGGTGGTGATGCTGATGATGCTGATGAGGATGAGGATAATGATGATGCTGATGCTGCTGATGATGATGATGCTCATGCTGATGCGGATGCTGATGCTGATGATGATGCTGATGATGATGATGACCATGTTCATGATGATAACGAAGACAACGATGACGATGCTGATGCTGATGATGATGATAGTGGTGGTTGTGGTGGTGATGCTGATGATGCTGATGAGGATGAGGATAATGATGATGCTGATGCTGCTGATGATGATGATGATGCTCATGCTGATGCGGATGCTGATGCTGATGATGATGCTGCTGATGATGATGATGACGATGTTCATGATGATGACGAAGACGACGATGACGATGCTGATGCTGATGATGATGATAGTGGTGGTTGTGGTGGTGATGCTGATGATGCTGATGAGGATGAGGATACGGATGATGCGGATGATGATGATGCTGATGATGATGATGATGATGCTGATGATGATGATGATGAGGATGCTGATGCTGCTGATGGTGCTGATGCAGATGATGATTCTGATGATGATCATGTCGATGCTCTTGCTGATGATATCGATGATGATGATGCTGATTATGATGATGATGATGATGCTGATGTTGATGCTGATAATGATGATGCTGATGCTGCTTATGATGCTGATCATGTTGATGATGCTGATGATGATGCTGATGCTGCTGATGATGATAATGTCGATGGTGATGGTCACGATGATGGTGATGAGGATGAGGATGAGGATGAGGATGAGGATGAGGATGAGGATGAGGAGGATGCTGATGCTGCTGATGGTGCTGATGCTGATGAT